TATCAGGATAATAATTTCAGAAATTATTAAATGGAGGATATGGATTTAAGTGACCAAGGCACGATTCTTTCTTTATGGTCAAACCCGAAAATGCAGTGTACATTTGAGTCGAAAACAGTAAACTCCTTTGGAATAACCATAACCATTCTAGAAACAGGTAGAAGCACAAATCTTTGTCATATATATATATGCGAGAAGAAGGCTCGTTAGAATAATTGGATCACTCGCATGAATCTTCAAGCTCGTTACACTGACCCGTCATCATCAGACGAACTGAAAAGTGGGAGATGGGATTATCGTACAGGATTTTTGGGGAGGGGGAAAGTTACATCGCCAGACAGTCGTTTGTCGGAGAGGAGTGACACTTGTATTAAAGTATACGCTGCGAACGATGCGAGTATTGGGAGTTTCAGCTGTGGTTCACCATGTCGGGGGATGTTGAATCAGTGAGTTACACATGTCCGAGTATAGATTAGCGGCTACTGTAGCTGCGAGGATTCCTTGAAGCTTGGCACTCCAACACTAGCAACATCAGCCGACATGTTGATCAGAATGTACACTACGAGGGTCTGCATACATTTCTAACTGCCTTGCGCGGCATGAAGGAAAATACTGACTCTAATTATCGCGGGATCGAGTTCTATTGAGGTGGAGGCGTTTTTATTGAGCCAAACAAACGTCATCGTCTGTTGATAAACCCTTTGGCAAGTACCAGTGGCTCCGCAGCGTTACTAATTTTCTGGACTTCTTTTCAGCCACCACCCACGTGCCGCTTAAGCTGTCAGAAACCAGTACTGTTATCCATGGTTTACCCAGTCTTTTTTTCTCCGTTTGCGTTCCGACTTTTTCGATACCAACAGTTGATGACGAGAATTACATTGCATGTCCTCCGTATTTCGTTTTCTCGTAGATATTTATTTCTGCATGCGAATCCAACCTCTTCAAAATCGCGTGCTCGCTCACGACACTTTCCAAGGGCATAGCTGCCAAGCTAGTAAAGTTGCTGACATTCAAGCTCTGTCCGCTGTTGCCTCACATGCACAGGAAGCCTCTCACTCCTAGTGGTTTGATTCTCCTTTGACCAACTCAACCAGGTGCCAGGTTTGTGATAAGGTGTTCATGTTTAGGATTTTTAGTCTAGGGTTGGAGTTAGAGCCACTTGTAGGTTCAGGGACTAGGTTTGGGCTTTAGGTTTAAGTCTAGGATTACGGTAAGGTGTTGGGGTTAGTGTTATTCGCCTACAGTTTCCTCACTGGGGTTACGAATCGTACGCTTGACGACGTCCCATTCAGGAGTCGGAAAACTCTCTTATCTTAAATTTGGTGAGTGAAGTGATTTTGAACATTGGAAGACTTAGTCGAGAAGTGCTACCGACAGGAACAGAGGCACTATTCTGGCTACTTGTAGCTATTTAGTTACCATCATACTCTAGGATGCATGGTCGTCGAATTTT